AGCGGTTCCAGTCGGACTTTCCTGTCCTGTGTCTGCACTCTGACAGAGGTGGTGAGTTCTCCTCAGACCTCTTGGCAGCCTACTGTGCGGAGCACGGCATCCGCCAGTCGTTCACGCTTCCGGCCTCTCCGCAGCAGAATGGGGTTGCTGAGCGCCGCATTGGCTTAGTCATGGAGGTCGCTCGTACCTCCATGATCCATGCGGCTGCCCCCCATTTTCTGTGGCCGTTTGCGGTCCGGTACGCCGCGCATCAGCTCAACCTCTGGCCCCGTGTCTCCTTGCCGGAGACCTCGCCCACACTGCTGTGGACGGGGAAGGTTGGCGATGCGTCGCGTTTCCGGGTCTGGGGTGCTCGTGCCTTTGTCCGCGATACCACCGCGGACAAGCTCTCCGCCCGCGCTGTTCCCTGTGTCTTCCTTGGCTTTGTCCCTGACGCGCCTGGTTGGCAGTTTTACCACCCCACCTCGCGCCGTGTCTTCCCCTCTCAGGACGTCACGTTCGACGAGTCGGTTCCCTTTTACCGTCTCTTCCCCTACCGCACTGCCCCTCTCCCCCCCCCGCCGCTCTTCCTCGCTCCAGGTGCTCCCTAGGTAGACCCCCTCCCTGCTCCCGATCCTGCTCCTTCAGGTGTGTCTCAGGTAGACCCTCCTCCTCAGGTTGAGGTCACTGGTGACTCAGGTGCTGCTGAGGGTGGTGCTGCTGCTGGGGGTGCTGAGCCTGGGGGTGCGGAGCCTGGGGGTGCTAAGCCTGGGGGTGCTGAGCCTGGGGGTGCGGAGCCTGGGGGTGCGGAGACCGGAGGTGCTGAGCCTGGGTGTGAGGAGTCTGGGGGTACTGAGCCTGGGGGCGCTGAGGCGTCTGGTGAGCAGTCTCCCGGGAGCGGCCGTCTCCGTAGTCGCTCCGCTGGTGCCTCGCCGCTGCACTCTAGTCGTCGACTCCCTCTCTCCCCACAGCAGCTGTCTGAGTGGTACGCTGGCCGTCAGGGTCGCGCTGCTGGAGCTAGGGGCCCTGGTGCGGGAGGCGCTGGAGCTGGTGACTCTGCCACTGGAGTTGTTTCTACTGGAGGGTCTGGAGCTGCTGAGGGTGCTGGAGCTGGAGGTTCTGGAGCTGCTGGAGGTACTGGCGCTGGTGGCGCTGGAGCTGGAGGTTCTGGAGCTGCTGAGGGTGCTGGCGCTGAGGGTTCTGAGTCTGCTGTTGCGTGGCTTCCTTGGAGTAGCCGCCTTCGTCCGCGTGTGCCTCTCACCTCGCAGCAGCTGCACGACTGGTACGGTCGCCGTCAGGGTCGAGCTTCTGGAGCTCGGGGCTCTGCCGCTGGAGGTACTTCTGCTGTTGTCACTGGAGCTGGGAGTGGTGCTGGTCCCGGAGGTGCTCGTACTGGAGGTACTGGAGCTGCTGGGGCTGGAGGTGCTGAGTCTGAGGGTGCTGCTGCCGGAGGCACTGAGGCTGGAGACCCTGGGACTGGAGGTGCCGGTTCTGGGGGTGCTGCTGTTGGTGGAGCTGGTCCTGGAGGAGCTGGCGCTGAGGGTTCTGGAGCTGCTGGAGGTGCTGGCGCCGGTAGCCCTGGAGCTGGAGGTTCTGGAGCTACTGAGGGTGCTGGCGCTGGAGGTTCTGTAGCTGCTGGAGGTACTGGCGCTGGAGCTGGAGGTTCTGGAGCTGCTGAGGGTGCTGGCGCTGGAGGTTCTGTAGCTGCTGGAGGTACTGGCGCTGGTGGCGCTGGAGCTGGAGGTTCTGGAGCTGCTGAGGGTGCTGGCGCTGGAGGTTCTGGAGCTGCTGGAGGTGCTAGAGCTGCTGGGGGTACTGGAGCTGCTGGTGCTGGTGTCACTGCACAGCCGCGCCTGTTCTTCGCTCCACCGTCTCCGTCGTCTCAGCCACCGCCTGACTCTGTGCTTCGCCAGGTTCTTAGTCTCCCTTTGTCTACTGGTCTTCCGTTACAGCCTGGCTCACCGCTGCCTGCTCCTCCTTACACTGAGCAGCTAGGGAGTCTTACTGAGCGTCGTGAGCCTGCGTCGCGTCCTGTCTCGCCTGTCTGTTCTGGTCGTTCCGGTCATCGTGTTCCTCGTCCGCGTCTGCCGGCTGTCCCCGACACCCACCTCGTAGTCCGGCGTCCTTCATCTCCTCCACAGCGTGTTCCTCTGCCGTCCCCTCCTGCGTCTTCTCTGCCTGTCATTGCGGACCCCGAGTCTGACCGGTTTCGTGCTGAGCACCCTACTGTCACGCGTCTGCTAGCCACTGTTGTCACTGACCCGTCGTTTGAGTCTGCTGCTACGTCTACCTTAGTTGCTGAGCTTGTTGACTTTGCATCTGCCTGTCGTCTAGACTACGCCGCTATTCTTGTTGCTGAGTCTGAGTCTGTCTGTCCTCCGTCCGTCGGGGGTGAGTGTGCTCTTGGCACGGACGTCCTTGAGGACAGGCAGGAGGACCTTGAGTGTCTTGCAGCCGCTGTGCCTCATCTCGTGTCCATGCTGCTTGCCCCTGAGGGAGACCCGGATGCTCCAGACATCCCGACCCCGCGCTCTTACGCTGAGGCGATCGCGGGTGAGTACTCCTCTCAGTGGCAGACAGCCATGGACGCAGAGATGGCATCCTGGAAGTCCACAGGCACCTACGTCGACGAGGTTCCCCCACCTGGGGCGAACATCGTCAGTGGCATGTGGATTTTCAGGGTGAAGCGGCCGCCAGGTTCTCCGCCTGCCTTCAAGGCGCGTTACGTTGCACGAGGTTTCAGTCAGCGAGAGGGAGTAGACTTCTTCCAGACCTTCTCCCCCACCCCGAAGATGACCACTCTTCGGGTGCTGCTGCACGTTGCCGCTCAGCGTGACTACGAGCTTCACTCTCTTGACTTCAGCACAGCCTTCTTACAGGGCAGCCTGCACGAGGAGATCTGGCTGCGCCGCCCACCTGGCTTCACTGGGTCGTTCCCTCCTGGTACCCAGTGGAGCCTCAGGCGGCCGGTCTACGGTCTCCGCCAGGCGCCACGTGAGTGGCACGACACACTGAGGACGACACTTGCGGCTCTTGGGTTTGCTCCGTCGACTGCTGACCCGTCACTGTTTCTGCGCACCGACACTTCGCTGCCGCCGTTCTACATCCTCGTGTACGTCGACGACTTGGTCTTTGCCACTGCTGACGCTGAGGCTCTCGCCCTGGTGAAGTCGGAGCTGCAGAAGAGACACACGTGCACAGACCTGGGTGAGCTGACAAGCTATCTTGGCTTGCGGATCACCCGGGACAGAGCACGCCGCACCATCACACTGACTCAGTCACACATGGTGCAGCAGGTCCTTCAGCGCTTCGGCTTCACCTGGTCCTCGGCACAGCACACTCCTCTGGCTATAGGTCACTCGCTCTCAGCTCCACCTTCGGACGAGTCCGTAGAGCCGAGTGGTCCTTACCCAGAGCTAGTGGGCTGCCTCATGTACCTGATGACCTGCACTCGTCCTGACCTTGCGTACCCTCTTGGCCTTCTGGCTCGCTACGTGGCTCCTGGTCGGCACCGAAAGGTGCACATGGATGCTGCTAAGAGGGTACTACGCTACTTGTGCAGTACATCGGGCATGGGGCTCGTGCTTGGAGGACGGAGCGACGTTGTCCTCACTGGGCACTCAGACGCTTCTTGGGTTGACGACCAGGCTACGCAGCGGTCGTCACAGGGTTACACCTTCAGCCTTGGCTCTGGTTCGGTTTCGTGGCGTTCTACACGCTCGTCTTCAGTTCTCAGCTCCAGTTGTGAGGCTGAGATCTACGCCACAGCCATGGCTGCACAGGAGTTACGCTGGCTCACCTACCTGCTGACCGACTTGGGAGAGCGGCCTCGTTCTCCTCCAGTGCTGTACGTCGACAACAAGGCAGCCATTGCCTTGTGTGAGGAGCACAGACTGGAGCACAGGACAAAGCACATCGCTCTGCGTTACTTCCTGGCTCGAGAGTTGCAGCAGCGTGGTCAGCTTCGTCTGCGTTACGTGGCCACTCGGGCCAACACTGCTGATATATTCACCAAGGCACTTCAGTGTGGTGATCATCAGCGTTTCTGCACCGTGCTAGGGCTTGTGCCCACTTTTCCTCACTTGCTGTAGGCTTTGCTTGTACTGTGATATATACATATATATATATACCTGCATGCTTGCTTTGCTAGGTAGAGATCACTGTGCTGTTTGTGTTGCATATATACCCCTGCATGTGAACTGGCCTTGTGGCCGCTTGCTTGTGCTCAGAATGCGTGGTGATCTTGAGATCCACCCTGAGCTTTGCTTTGCTTTGTTCTCTTGCTTGACCGGTCTTGTGACCTTTGGTTGTTCTTGCTATCCCCCACTTTGCCTATGGGGGTGTGTCAAACTATGTTTCTATGTTGTAGGCTGTAGTGGGGTAGCCTCTACTGAGTACAACACTTTAGGGTTAGACATTGCCCTACTTGTACTCATCCTTGCTCCCTAGTCAATCATTCCTGTCTATACTTCTGACAGTACTCGGTAGAGTCGGCTCCTGCAGCATACAGGAATGCCTACTCATGCAATTTCATATCGTAACATATAGTAATTCTCTCGACTCACATCCAGCTTCTGACAGCTCCTGCTGACTGGACCCGCATCCATTGCTGGGTCCGAATGTGAAGGGAACCGAATCTGCAACACATCCGCCTGCTAAAGTAAAAACCGTTACAGCGTTTTGAACACATTTCAAAATTTAAAGTTTACCTGCGCTTAATAAAACAAGTTTTTTTCAGGGGGTGCGCTTATAATCGAGCAGGGGATATAAGCGCCACTCGCCAAGCGCCAGGCGCTTATCCGAGGGTGGCGCTTATATCCAGGGTATGACGGTATATCCCATTTATATGCAGCATTCAAAGAGGTCAACTAGAGAGAAACTAGGCAGCTGATGGCAAATCCTTTCAACCAACATAGCACGGCCTAGAATTTCCCTGAGTGCAGGCGACTGCCACGAGAAAGGGGCTGATAAATATTTGTCCTTTTTATACAACTGAAGTGAGGACATAGTATAAACCAAAATCAGCCAAGTGCAAGAACAGCTACGGTTGCAAGGATGAAAGACCAGAGTGGGAGCAAGGCTGGATGACCTGAAGAAGGGAGAATAAGAAAACAAGCAAGGGTTGATTAGTCAGGAGTAGGGAGAAGATAACGACAGGGGAAGGTACCATAGCTCAGATTCATCAGAGCGTATGTGTCCAGACACACACAGTACGTAACAGGAAGGTGAGGGAGTGGAAGAAAAGCGGGAAGAGAGAGGATGAACAGGCTCACCTCTAGCACCAGTTTTTCCAGGTGTGCCAGTCGGAGCTGTCCCCGCAGTAGGCACGGTGCTGCTGCTACTGACATCTCCCTTGCTGCTGGTCCCTCCACTGGAGTTCCCAGGGCTGCTGCTGGCAGGACTGCCATCTGCCATTCCACCCGCGTCTGCCGTTCCATTGCCAGAGGCAGAACTGCTCCCCTCGCCGGTGGTTCCGTTGGTAGCAGTGCCATTCCTTGTCAAGTCTGAGTCGTCCAACACAACTGGGAACACGGGCAAGTCGCGGAAGTGGGGGAAGAGCACGGCATCCACGCCATGCACCACCATGCCAGCGCTGTCCATCAGATCAGCCCGCACCACCCGAGCCACCTTCATGTCGCTGCCAGCCTGCTCCCACATGCTATTAGACCCTGCCGCCCAGGCATAGGAGGACGAGTTGAGCCACGCGAGGTACTCGCTGGCAGTCACGTTCAGCCCCGGCACGGCCTGATTCATCCACTCAGTCGCATTCCCCAGCAGCTGCTGCTGCACCTCCGCAGTCCAGTTGCTCCACCACCCCGCCATGCCTCCCCACCCGCCCATCATGTCCCCCAAGCCCCCCATCATGCCCCCTGCGCCCATGTCCCCCGGGCGCGGGTCCACCTGGATGGGGCCGGGCATGGCGGTGGCGGGGGGCATATCGGCGGGGCCGCCGCCCATCATCTGGGGAGGCTCCATCATCATCTGTGCGCCAGCCATGCCGCGCGGCGCCACCGAGGGGTCGGAGGGAGGCGATGTGATGGCGGGGGGCAGGGGGACTCCCGGCTCGGTGCCGTTGGAGACGAGGGTGCCGTTGGCGCTGACGACGGTACCGTTGGCGAAGTAGGTGTTGCCGTCCGAGTCCACGGCTATGGGGCTCGTCCCCGCGTCATACAGCACGGTGCCGTTGGCGGCGACGGTGGTGCCGTTGGGGTAGTACACGGTGCCGTCGTACCCCACGCTGATCCCCTCGCTCATCAGCGCGCGCTGCGCCGGCGTGTACGCGTTGAGCAGCGCGGCGGACTCGCTCGCGTTGAAGTTGATCCACAGCCCCTGCCCGTTCACCGTCGTCAGGTTGCCCGCATCCGCCGTGAACTGCGCCGCGATGGCCGCCGCGTTCAGCGCCGCCGTCGCCACGTGGTACGCGAGCAGCTCCGACAGAGCCTTCAGCGCCTCGGGCCGCTCCTTCGCCAGCGCCGCCAGCGACGCGGGCGTCCCGTCGCCGGAAAACACGGCGCTCAATGCGGCGATAAGCGGGTCGAAAGTCAACAGATCAGGTGTGGTCCAATTAAAATCGGGCATGGTCCAGTTGAAGTCAGGCATAGTCCAGTTGTCGGGCATGGACATGTTAAAGTCGGGCATGCCAGGCATGGACATGTTAAAGTCGGGCATGCCAGGCATGGACATGTTAAAGTCGGGCATGGTCCAGTTGTCGGGCGGCATGGGAATCGTCATGTTATCCAGAGACGGCATCGTCAGATTCAACCCGTCCGACCCGCCGGGAATCCCGGGAATGGGCAGGTCGGGAACGCCGGGCAGCGGCAAGTCAATTTGCGGAAGGCCGGGAATCATCGCCGCGCTCGCTCCGCCGCTAGCGCCTCCCGTCGCGCCGGGCTCTGAGATCGGCTGCGCGATGCCACCGGGATTGGCGGCGCCGTCTGAACTGTTCCCCTGACTGCCCGGGCTTCCGGGGGTCCCGCAGCCGCCGCCGCCGAATCCAAAGCCGGGGCCGGGGAAGGGAATGTAGCCGCTTAGATAAGGCAGAGCGAGGGCGTGGAATGCGGCGCGCCACGCGGCGTCGGTGGGCGCGAAGAGGGTGAGCGGCGCGAGCGCGGGCAGCTTGGCGAGCAGCCCGGTGGCGTTGAGGACGAGCAGCGACACGTTGAACGACTGCGACGGCGACTCCGCGCTCGCCAGTGCCGCCGCTATCGACGTCGCGGCAGGACCCGGCGCGCCGCGCACGGCGCACGGCGCGGAAAGCGCGATGGAAATGACGAGACACAGCAGCGCTGCGTGGGAAAGACGAGTACTACGCACGGCTAAGGGAGGGGCGCTTGCCATCATTGGCTGCGAACGAGGATGAGCGCTACAACGTCGGGAATATTTTTTTATGAGCCTGAATTTGAAGTTGTGATGAGCTGAAGGAGCAAGAAATGATCTTGGAACGATGCTTGGTTTGTGGGGAATATATGTAGGTTGTGAGGGAAGGGAGAGGTGGTGATACGTACAAGCTGGCGAGCAGGGAGTGGGCGAAGGAAAGGAATTGATGAAACAGTGCGGAGGGGGCGGGGGAAGGATGCGCGGAAGGGAATGAGGCTGTGACAGATGGAGGAGTCAACCGGATTGACTCGTCGTCGCAGGAAACGAGTGTCGGTGCGCGGCGCGGCTACCTACGTGAACCGTGAGCCGAAAACCGCCCATGTGCGACGAACGAAGTCGTGCTCACCTTGCTTGCGGCTGCAGGAGGCCGTGCGAAGGAGGAGAGTGACGAAGGCTCTAGGAAAAGGCGTATACTGTACCGAACATGGATTGCCGCCACGTCACGGATACAGAAGTCGTGTCATTGTTGAGATATGAACTTTATAAGTAAACATTCTTGTACTTTACAGGAGCAGACCTTACCGAGTACGAAGACGAGGAGTCAGAAGAACCGAAGCGTCACCGGCAACCGTCAGATCGAGACCCATGCAGGCAGAAACATTCGAAGTGAGAATGGCGGGAACAGGTTTGAAACAGGTTCCCGCACGGTTAGAATTCGCTGTAATAAGGGAATGTTGTCAAAACATATTCATATGTTATTAGTTATGCTAGGCTACAGTGAGGTGCTCAGTATAGAGTACAACCCAAATTAGGGTTTCATACTTGTATCTCCTTGTTCCTAGTCATTCCTCATTCCTGCACAGCTAACTCTAAACATGGTTTCGGAGCAGGTTAACTGTTAGTTTTCTATTAGGGCCCACCGATCGTTCCGCTCGACCCTGCCCTAAGCGCCCTTGCGCTGCCCTGCCCTGCCCTGCCCGAACAGGGTCGCGCTGCCCTGCTGCCACGCGCGCTGCCTGCCCTAGCGCGCTGCCTGCTGCACACGCGTTTTTTGCCCGCACGCGCGTTGTCCGCAACCACCTCCCGCTAGCTGAGAGAGCCTATTTTGGCCAGCAGAAGACAACCAAGACCTCTATGACGCAGTTGTCGCTCGTTACTCCTTTCCAGCTACTGCTGCCCTAGGCCGTCTCATTCTACCGTACCTCTTTCCTTAGCTCGCAGATTTCCGCACTGTTGCTAATCTCATGACCGACCTTCGCTCTAGTGAGACTCGCTACCGCGCCGCTCTCAAGCCGGCCTTCCTTAAAGAGACCCCCCCCCCACATCATATCACCCTGTACTTCCTTGTCACTGGCCTCCCTGACTCCCTCCGCACAATTAGGGACCACTTCCTCGCCCTTGACCCCACTGAGCTCACGCTTGCCTCGCTGGAGAAGTACCTTCTCGAGGCTGAGACTGGTACTGTTGCTGTCGCTGCCTCTCGTGGCACTACCCGCTCCCCCTTTTTTTAAGGGTGTGCTCCCTCCCCTCTCATACCTTCAGTTGCTACTGCTGCTGCTGTCGACCTCCTTGGTGCTGATGAAGTCAGCGCTGCGTCTGCTCCTAGTGAGAAGAGTTGCAACGGCAGGGGCAAGGGGGGTAAGGGTGGTGGGGGTGGCGCTAGCATTGGTGGTAGCGGGGGTGGTGGTGGCGGGGGTGGAGGCGGTGGAGGTGGCACAGGAGGTGGAGGCAGTGGCGGTGGCGGGGTGGTGGAGGTGGCGGGGGTGGTGGAGGCGGCGGGGGTGGTGGAGGCGGTCGGGTTGGAGCTGGTAGGGGTAGATGCTATGGGGGCTCAGCTCGTGGCGGTGGAGGCTATGGGAGTGGACAGTAGCTGCCACGCCTCTCGGACACACCCACCCCTCAGCAGCTTCGTGAGTGGGTTGTCTAGCATGGTTCCCCTGGGGGCTCTGTTCGCTGCTCGTATGTCAGGCGCACGGGGCTCAAAAAGGGCCAGACCTGCGGGAAGCCTGGGCACACTGAGTATCGCTGCTTCGGTCATCTCGAGGATGCTTGGGTGACTGAGTATGGTGATGAGCAGGAGGTCCCCAACTGGCTGGGTCTGATAGCGAAGAATGTGGATGTATTTGCTCCTAACTTTGTTCATCTCAACAAGGCTATCTATGCTGTGTATGTCTATGCTATTAGTGCTGAGGGTGCCTGTTACCCGTGTGTGCCTTGCGCTGCTGGTGAAGGTACTGCTGCTCTAGGTGCTAGTGAGTCTGCTGCCGCTCTAGGTGCTAGTGCGTCTGCTGCCACAAGTGCTAGTGAGTCTGCTGCCTCAGCTGAGGCCTTGCACACTTTCACACTTGACTCTGGTGCATCTCGTTGCTTCTTTCGTGATTGCACCACAGTCACACCACTTGCTGCACCCGTCCCAGCCTCACTGGCTGACCCCTCTGGGGGCCCCGTCGTCGCACAACCCTCCACTGTCCTCGCGTGTCCAGCAGTCCCCTCCGGCTCTCTTTCAGGTCTCCACCTCCCCTTGTTCCCAACGAACTTGGTGAGCAACGCAGTCCTTCAGGATGTATGGGTTGATACCTTTACCCCTGGAGGGCAGCGTGTGGGGACCTGTACGTGCTCCCGGACTGACCGTCACCTTGCTACCTTCACTCGGCAGCCTGGGTCCAGTCTGTACACCCTGACCACTGCATCTGCACAGGTGGCTGCGTCAGGTCAGGTGGCTGCGTCGAGTCAGGTGTCTGCGTCTGGTCAGTTCGCTGCGTCGTGCTCGTGTCGGGTACTCTCCCACCAGACTCTCCTCTGGCACCACCAACTAGGTCACCCCTCTTTGCCGCGTCTACGCAGCATGCACTCCCGTCTCCTTGTCTCTGGCCTTCCCAGGTCCCTGCCCCCTCTCCCGCGCTCTCTTGCCCCGCCGTGCCTTCCCTACGTCGAGGGGCGGCAGCGCGCCGCTCCTCACTCCTCCTCGTTATCTCCGACCACTGATCCTCTGCAAACTCTCCACATGGACGTGTGGGGCCCAGCCCCTGTCCGTGGGACGGACCAGGAGTGCTACTTCCTGCTGGTTGTTGAGGAATACACGCGCTACACCACCGTCTTCCCCTTGCGCAGAAAGGCAGACGTCCGCGGTGTTTTGATCCCCTGTATCCGCGCTACTCGTCACCAGTTGCGCGAACGGTTTCGGCGAAACCCTCCCGTCCTGTGTCTGCACTCTGACAGGGGCGGTGAGTTCTTTTTCGGCCTCCTTGCGGAGTTCTATCAAGACGAGGGCATCGTCCAGTCGTTCACGCTTCCGGCCTCTTCGCAGCAAAATGGGATTGCGTGAGCGTCGCATAGGCTTGATCATGGAGGTTGCTCGTACCTCCATGATCTATGCGGCTGCTCCCCATTTTCTGTGGCCGTTTGCGGTCCGATACGCTGCGCATCAGCTCAACCTTTGGCCCCATGTCTCTTTGCTAGAGACCTCGCCCACACTCCGTTGGATGGGTGAGGTTGGCGATGCGTCGGCGTTTCGGGTCTGGGGTGCGCTCTCCCTTGTTACCACCACGAGCAAGCTCTCTCCTCGCACTCTCCGCTGCACATTCTTGGACTTCCCCACCGAAGCCCCGCCGTGGCAGTTTTACCATCCTGCCTCGCGTCGAGTCCTGTCCTCCCAGGACATCACCTTTGACGAGTCTCTCTGTTTCTACAGGCTCCACCTGCACGCGTCCCACCCGGTCCCCCTGGCGCCTCTCTTCCTGGTACAAGTTCCCCCCTCGGTAGACCCCCTCCCCCCACAGGGTCTTGCTCCTTCAGGTGTGTCTCAGGTAGATCCACCCCCCTTGGCTGAGCCTTTGGTGGTCTCCTCAGACACCTCTGGCCCGGCTAAGGGGGGTGACCCCGCCGCTGACGACACAGCAGCCACTCGTCGCACTCAACGCTTCGAGACCCCTCCTGGTTTTCCTCCTCGACCGTCTTCGCCGCCTCTGCAGCCTGTAGCTGTGGACACTGGTGCTGCTGGGGGTGGTGACACTGGGGATGAGGACTCTGGAGGTGCTGGTCCTGGGGGTGCTGAGACTGGGTGTGAGGGTTCTGGGGGTGGTGAGACTGGGGGTGAGGGTTCTGGGGGTGCTGACTCTGGGGATGCTGCGAGTCCTAGTGGTGGTGGGGCTGTGGGTGCTCCTACTGAAGGTCCTGGCGTTGGACAGCAGCAGCCGCCTAGTCGACTCGAGACGCCCTCACCGCAACAGCTTCGTGAGTGGGTCGTTCGGCGAAGCCGCTCTGGTGCTGGAGCTTGGAGTTTTACAGGTTGTGGAGCTGCTGGTGCCTGGAGGTACTACTGGTGCTGGAGGCGCTGGAGCTGGAGGTACTGGAGGTGCTGGAGGTGCTGGAGCTGCTGGCACTGGAGGTGCTGGCACTGCTGGTGCTGGAGGTGCTCGTACTAGAGGTGCTGGAGCTGCCGGAGCTGGAGGTGCTGGTGTTGCTGGTGGTGGAGCTGCTGGAGGTGCTGGAGGTGCTACTAGTGCTGGAGGCGCTGGAGCTGGAGGTAGTTAAGGTGCTGGAGCTGCTGTCACTGGAGGTGCTAGTGCGGGAGGTACTGGAGCTGCTGACGGTACGGGTACTGCACCGCGTCGACCATTTTTCTACTCGCAGGCGCAGTCGTCCCTGCCACCGGCTGACTCGGCCCTTCGCCAGGTTCTTAGTCTCCCGTCTTCCACTTGCCTCACTCCACCTCTGCTATGTCCACAATCTGCCCCGTCTCAGACAAAGATGCCGCCTGGCTCCCCACCGCCTGCTCCTTCTCCCTAAACTGAGCTGTCTGACTCCTTGACTGAGCGTCGTGAGCCTGAGTCTCGTGCCTCCACACCTGTTCGTGCTCGTCATGTCGCCAGTCCTCGTCCTCCTGCTGTTCCAGGCACTCACGTTATGGCACTTTGTCTTCCTTTGTTCCACAGCGTGTTGCCCTGCCGTCTCCTCCGACGTCCTCTCTTCCTGACGTTCCTGACCCTGAGTCCGAAATTGCTCGTGCTGCCAGTCCTACTGTC